GTAGAACTGCCCCATAGAGTTTTCATGGATGTAGTCTTTACAGAAGAAGATCGACAGGTCTTTCTCCCATGGAGCCCCTCGGTGGGTTCGAACTGCTCATCTTTCAGTCAGCAGCTAAGCACTTAATCATTTATGCCACAGGACTCCTTTCATAAAAATTATTAAATGGTTGTACTCTTTATTTTTAACCACTTTCAGGATTACCTCTTCTATTTAAAACACTCAGTGATAAAGGAGCCCTGATGGTGCAGTGGTTAAGCACTCAGCTGTTAACCTAAAGGTTGGTGCTTCGAACCCACCAGCCATTCCACAGGAGAAAAATGTGGCAGTCTGCTTCCATAAAGATTACAGCCTTGGAAGCCTTATGGGGCAGTTCTACCCTGCCCAGTAGGGTCACTATGAATCAGAATTGACTCGATGGCAATGGGTTTTGGGTTTAAAGTAGTAATAATATTAATGCCCTAATTAAAAGAATGTACAACGAAGGAGTGGACCCTCCCCTCCTCAGTTCTGTTTTCTCCATTATGCTAAGTTGCATCGTAGCCACACTAGGCCCAAATATCCCTTAAATGTACCTGTTCTAGTTTCATTTTAAATCCTGATGCGTATGCTAGTGTGTATTTTTTGTTGCTAAAGTCATAATTTTGTTGTTGTGAGACCTCTAGTTCTTATAAGTACGGACTCTGGCAACCCATTTCCTGTCCCTCAGGCCTACCGCACCTGCCCAAATGAGAGCTGCCTCCAGGAGAGAGAGCCTTGAACACCAAGGTTATTTCAGTGATGAGACATATTCCTGAAAACTCTCCTGCCTCTGTCTGCAACAAATTGTCATTCTGGCAGGATTTTCTCTTTAAACAAGCAAGCATTCTGATCCGTCCTTTGCCCTCGCAGAAAGGCTCCCCAGAGCCTTTCTAACAGATTTAGGTACCCCCTGGGGCTGAGAAGGCCCATTAACACTCTTTTGTTTAATCTCTCCTAATTATCTGCAACTAAATGCCACTTGAAAAGGACATTTTGAATATGCCTTTAACGTTCTAAAATGTGTCTCCCAACTGCTCAATAATTAGTCCCTTCATCTTCCCAGGGACCAAAAATTAATCTATCTTATTTACACAACTGTTCTTCTTGCTTTGTAAAAAGAGACACTACCTCTGCCCACTTATAATCTTTAAGCACCTCTATGCAATAACAACAGGGGACAGAATAGTGCATTTACTAGCTGGAGACCCCTGAGTGAGCGGTTCCCTTAAACTTCTATTTATGAATATATACAGACTGAAGATAAAGACACCCCAGGGAGAGAAAGCGATAGTCATAAAAGCCTACTCAGGAATAACAACAGTAAGTAATCCCAGCCCTAAATGAGAAAATACGAAAGTAAAATTATCATAACTAGCAATGTTTTCCTAAGTGTAACTGTGATAAAAGATTTGGTGGTAGAGAATGTTGAAGTTACCATGGTCAGACCGTCTTCGGTGAGTAAGATTTTATTGAGGACTGTGCCCTGATACAGGAGGGTTGTACACCAAAGATCTCTAAGAATATGGTTTCTCAATCTCTACAAATCCACTGTAAGAACACAGTGTCTACCATGGAGAAGAGTAATTTTTATACAAGAATCTGTTGGTATGCCTTCTGAATTTAGCACCAGGAGTATATTGCTATCATATTATAAGGTCAAGCATCCTTTTGTTAGATAACAAGAACAACAGAATACGTTGCTTCTCCACTTCCTTATTCCTACCAAAAAGCTAAAGAGCCGCATTTAATGCCTATAGTTAACTGAATAAAAGACAATTTTCCACCCTCAAGTTTGTTTTAGCCTCATATTTGATTTGATTTGATTCCACTGAATATATGTTTTTTAGAGTAAAACACAATGTCACTTTTAATTCTTTTTGGTCTAGGTTAAGGCAAAAAATACAATCACTTAAGTGTGGCAGATCGTATTATTTTTCCCAATTATACACTCCCCCATTCCCTGTCCACAGCCCTATGACTTGCAGTGCCTTCCTGGAGGAGGACGCACTTCTCTCTCCCACTGTTAAGACTGCCTTGCTTTGGTCAGTGACGCAGCAGAGGAATTCAAGAGCGCCACATCAGAGCAGGCACTTTAAGAGTCAGAGCATGGTACGGCTCTTGCTCTTCTCATCATGTTCCAGACTGATGCTGAAAAACATACAGCCCAGAATAAAGAGACACGTGGAGCAGAGCTACAGATGATCAGGAGTTCATATGTATCATGAATGAAAGATAAACCTTTGTTGTTAAAAGCCACTGATTGTTGGGCTGTTTGTTTCATCAACATAACCTAGCAAAAGCTGACTACATTAAACTACATCTAGAGGAGTGTGTTCAAACACTGAAAACTACAGAGTCCAGAAGGCTGAGGAGGATAACAAGGATTTTGAAAGGTCTGATATTTCAATCAGTGAGGATCAGATAAGGGAACTGAGCCCATTTAGCCTAAAGAATGGATTTGGGGGATGGAAGGGAAGGCAAGGATAATTATCATCATATATTAGAAAAGTGATCATATAGAAATATAGGGAAGAGAGTATAGACTTGTTCTTCTTGCTTTAAGCACAGAACTAACAGAATTATATAGAGAGAGATATTTTGGTTTATCATAAGGAAGACACTTCTACAAATTAGATCAGTCTAACAGTAGAATGCGTAGTCATGTAAAATAATATGTTTCCAGTGACTGCAGGCCATGAAGCAGAGGCCACCACAGATTAGGGGCATTATAGAAACAAATCTTTATTTTGTGGGAGTTTATACCAAATGAAAAGGAGCCCTGGTGGTGCAGTGCTTAAAGCGCTCATCTGCTAACTGAAAGGTTGGCAGTTCGAACCCGTCAGTTGCTCCGCAGGAGAAAGATGCAGCAGTCTGCTTCCATAAAGATATACAGCCTTGGAAACCCTATGGGGCAGTTCTACTCTACTCTGCAACAGATTTTATACCAAATGACCTCTCAACAACCTTTCAATTCTGATCCTATAAATTATACAGTAATTCATGATACTAAGTTCAGTTAGCTCTCTCAATAATCAGCCATATAATAGCTTTCTAGAATATGTTCCCATTTTTTTATGTCATGAAAATGTATACTTTTCTTTTCCTCTCAATTCACTAATACTTTTTCATTATTTTCCCTAAAGTGGGACTTCTAAAAAGCTTTTTGGTATACGTTATCTATTCATTAATGAAATTCAGAAATTATCTTTAAAAACACAGATGATTTAGTCAGAGCTACGAGTAATCAATCTAGGCAACAGGTAAATATCATCATCATAAATAGAATATAGTGACTTTTACAGAAAACCGCTAAAATTCCTGATTGGTATAGATGACTGAATTAATTTGAGAAGACACCTCTATAACTTATTTGTCAAATGTGCAAAACTATTTGTGAGATACAAAGGCTGAGATAGCATATAAGATGCCAAAACAGTGACATAAAAAAATTCACATTATCCTCAAACCTGAAAATTTAAAGTGGTATCTCTTCATGCTGTTTGCCTGCTACAAAATCATCAATAAAGGTCTTATCTGTAATAAGAGCAACACTTCCCATGATGTGAACATTTAGCTTCTAGAATCTTTATGTCTGAAAATGCCAGAGAATCACTATTTGCTCTGCCTACCTGACGGGAAGATTGTGAAGATCAATGAAACAATTAACTATAAAAATATTGTATAAACGTAAAATGAGTACTATCATTATCTTATATGTATTTCTGGCTCACACAGACAGTTACTACATTTCAATTAATTGAATATTTTAGAAAAACTGGAATATGCAAACACTTAACATGTAGTTAAACAACAAAAAAAAAAAACAGGAATTGGCAATAATATTTGTATTATACCTTCTTCTCACTTATCGACTATCTTGTTATCCAACATTTCACATTTACCACAATAGTAAAAAATTTACCATCCAACTATTTTGCACCTTAACAAGGTGGTGGGCATGGTGGCAAAGGATGCAAAGTGTCCCCTCCCTCAAGGAGGGTCTCCAGGTGGCCTCAAGGAAGCTGAGCCACACTGCCCCACGCCCTCTGCTCCCTCCTGCCGGCGAAGGAACCACATCCAGCTGTCGCACAGGGCCAGCCTCCTCTACAGCCACGGCCTCCGGGTGGATAGGCAGGCAGCACTGAGGCAGGGGGGCTTTTGTTCTGGGTTCCCAGCTCCTTTGCAGCCTCAGGCCCTGCGTCTCAAAACTGCTTTGAGGTGGTAAGGGAGGAAAGAGGCATTGGAGAGGGTGTTTGGAAGAAATGGTGTGAGTTTACTGACATCCCAAAGTGAGCTGAACTAGACCTGGAGCCTCCGCCTCGGTAGGGCCAGGTGCGAGGCCAGGCTCCCAGCACCCTGGCAGGAAGCCCCGAGCCTCAGTGACTCAGCAAGCCTGGAGGGCAGAGGCGGCTCTGGGATCAAGAATGTAGGGGTTGCAGGGGTGGGAGTGCAGCCCTGGAGGTGGCTCTGGCTCTGTGAGGAAAGCTCTGACCCAGCACAGGAGGAAGGTGAGGCGGTTAAGTCATGGGCCCTCCAGTCACACAGCCCGGCTTTATCCAGCTTTGTCTCCTCCAAGCCTCCTTCTATGGAGAGGAATAATCCATAACTGGACTCATCACAGTGATGAGCACATCAGTAAATCTTAGCTGTTATTTTTTCTATAATCATATTTTTTTATTTAAAAAAACCAGACAAACGGATGGTCTGAAAACAGAAAAAAAAAAAAAAAATCCTCTATTTTCAGGTAAAGACCTTGTCTTTGGAATCTAATCATGTCAGTAAGTGAGGAGTGAGTGTATACTATTTGCAACATTTAAGATGAAAAAGTATTAACATATAACAATCTTAAATCCTTCACTGTAGTGGGCATTAGAGTTTACAATAAAAACCTCAAGTCAAAATCGCTTGATAACAAAAATAAACTAATTTAACTGCTTTGCTAATGTTTTGTTTTGTTTTTTGAAGATGTATTTACTTACCAACAAGTCTTATTACATTCAACGTAGTATTTGTTAAGATGGGTGCATTCACTTTATTTAGGCTGTAATCTGATTTCTTCCTGCTTTTTAGGGTTTCTCGAGAAACACTTAGTTTGGAAAAACAAAAGAGTTGCAATTAGAGATGTCAAGTAGTAAACCGGTAGATTATTATTAGGCTAAGGATCTATCCTTCACTCACTAATTATTTACTAAAAATCTTAGTAAGTGCCAGGCAGGGAATAGAGATTATCCTCTTGTCCTTATAGAGCCTACAGTCTAGAGAAGAGAAATAAGTAAGCAACGAAATTAAATACTATATTTCCTTGATTTTAATACATTATAAACCATTAACACCACTAAAAGAAGCTACATCACTTTAAAACAGATTTGCTGGGGAAATTATACATCCAATGTACCAAGCACGCTGATTTCACAAATTTATAAACATGAAAAAAAATACTCCTTAGAATCTGAATACATTAAGTATGAATGTGATGGCAGAGTCTGGAGGGTGGGGTGACAGTAATGGGTTCAAAGCAAAAATAAAAGTTAAATGGTAAGTGCAGAAAAAAAATTCTAAGCAGAGGTAAGAGAACAGAGTGTGCTTAGAGAAGTACAAGGAGTTCACCATGGCTATCACCTAGACAAGTGGGCAAAGGGAAAAGTGATGAGAAAAGAGGTAAGTAAAGGCCAGATCACTCGATGCAATTGAACCTAAGGAGTATGGACCTTATTTTCAATGTGAAGTTGGGAGCCATTACAAACCAGGAAAACATCATAATTACATTTGTATCTAAGAAAAAAATCCAAAGTATCTAGATTTTTGAATGGATTGAAAAGGGGCAAGACTGGAGACAGGAAGCCAAGTTAATGGGGTTGATTCAATAATCTAGCACAGAGATGACTTTGGCATGAACTAAGATGGGAGCAGTGAAATAAGAGAAACACTGATAAATTCAAGAGACACTCAGAAGTTGGAATTGACAGCAACTGTTAATTGACTAGCTCCCATTAGAAGTTCAGATTCTTCAAACTTCTTAGGGATAAATTAGACAGTTTAAGAGATTGCATTAACCCTACTAAAAACAGAGTTATGTATACATGTATTGGGAGCCCTGGTGGCACAGTGGTTAAGAACTACAGTGAGCTATGGCTGCTAACCAAAAGGACAGCAGTTCGAATTCACCAGCCACTCCCTGGAAACCCTATGGGGCAGTTCTACTCTGTTCTATAGCATCACCATGAGTCGGAATGGACTCAACAGCAATGGGTTTGGTTTGATTTGGCTTACACATGTGTTGGAGACCTGATGGCACAGCGGTTAAGAGCCTGGCTGCTAACCCAAAGGTCAACAGTTTGAATCCATCAGCTGTTCCTTTGAAACTCCATGGAGCAGTTCTAATCTGTCCTATAGAGTCACTGTGAGTCGTAATCGACTCGACTGCAATGGGTTTGATTTGGTTTTACATGTGTACCAGCAGACAACATTTAGTTGTTCATTTCAACTGAATTAGAGCTTTTGTTTTGGCCAAAATATACAAAAAATATATCTAATGAAGACGTTCAACAAGAATTCTACCCAGTTCATAGTGGATCATACGTGTAAATATTTAAACATCATATATATATAAAAACTGGAGCCTTGGTGGCACAGTGGTTAAGAGATTGGCTCAAGAGAACTAAAAGGTCAGCAGTTAGAATCCACCAGCTGCTCTTTGGAAACCCAATGGGGCAGTTCTACTCTGTCCTACAGGGCCACTATGAGTTGGAATCGACTTGACAGCAATGAGCTTAATAGAAAAAAAATTTTCCCAATGAAAATATTCACCACTTTTGAGGAGAGAATTACTTCAGTCAAGGTATCAAGTCAATCAAGTATTAACTAGGTATCTTGTGGGAAAAGAGTTGCGATAAGTATCTATCTATCCTATTTAAATCTATCCTATTTTTTTTAAAGTGTATCTGTGGTCACTAAATGTCTGATAAGTCATGGGATTAATTCACTCCAACACCTCAGAATCAGGCCCATTTAACTGAGAGAAACTGACAGAAAATTATAATTATCATTGTTTTGAAGAGGATATTCTATCATAAAATAAAACTCAACCACTAATAAGGAATCTTAATAGAAGACTCAAATAGTGAGGATAAATGACATTCGGAAATAAATGGAGATTTCCTGTATTTACTAGATTGAGGCAAGAATTCCACATTGAAAACAAATGAGCACTTCCTCCTTGAGGTTTTCTGATCTATGTGAAGCATACATGGCCTTCAGAAGCAATACACATTTTATCTACACTTTTTTTTTGGCAAAAATTGTTGATCTCTAAAGAACTCCTTGGTTATGCTCATTACTTTGTAATAAAAAAGTTCTAAAAGCATGATTATTTCTTAACTTTATGAAACTGTAAAAAAAAAAAAAAGGAATTAGACTGTTGCTGAAAAACAAGGTCAAATAAGCTGTATAAATCAAAAGGGAGACTGAAAACATTTTAAATTGCTAAACCAAATTTTGTTTTTTCTTCCCTCTAATATTATGAAGAGGTACTATATCACTAAATACATTAACAGTCTAAACTCACAGCTAGACTAACTGCTTGTGAAGGGCCAGCAAAGCTTTTGCCAAGTAGAACTTTTCCTATAACTATTTTATTTTCCCTGGAAAGTCACATATATGGAATGTAAGAAAAAAATTTACAGTTTTAGCCTTTCAGGAATCATTTTTTAGACATTATCAACTTATGCCACATGATATTATAACCATCAGAAAAAAATTAATTTTTAATTTTTGCTTTGTCTTAATCTTCAAAGGAAATCCTATGATATGTGAAATGCACAACATAAAATGCTAAATCCCATACAATCTAAGCGTAATTACCTTTTCACAGGAGCATCGCCTGTCTGCTCATCCACATAATCTCGTTTGAGCTCCTCAGGGACGTCACTGTCGCTGTCATACTCCTGATAGGCACTCTTTTCTTGTTCATCAGATTCATACTGAAGAGAACAGGACATTCAAAAATGAGTATGAAGAGCTATCCTTTTTTGAGGTCTTTCAACATAATAAAAGTACCCACTTTGATGAAAAATAGCTAAATAGAAGAAATTTAATGGTTTAGCTTTAATTTTGCCATCAAGAATCATATTATCCTTCCATTTTCTTCTCCATCATCTTATCTTAACCAGTTCAAATGAAGGTAAAGGAAAAGTGAAATATAAACATTATACCTACAAAAGCTTGTAAATGTCCACCAATCAAATCTCCACATACAAAAAACAAACAAGAAAACCCACTAGGCCTTAAAGGAAGAAAATGGTATACATTTGATCAAACAAACAAAAAAAAGTCACTCTTATTCCTCCTAGTGGGTTCATCATGCTTATTTCTGATTTTCTAATTCATCATAAAGAGGTTGAGTACACAATTCCAGGACTCTGGAAGTGTTAATTCATCCTAATAAACATACACAACACACACAGGCTGGATATTCTACCTACTTCATTATGGTGAGATTTAATTCCAAATACAGCTTAGAAAATTAGGCTTAGCATACAGGGATCTACTGAGAGTAAAGCAAAAACGGTAGATGTACTCTTGAGAGGAAGGAGGCTTTCCTGACACCGTCATCACCTTTACAGCACCATGGTCAATGCCAGTATGGGAGAGGACAGGTGAAATCCATGAGCATCAAAGGAACACACATCATCATCAGAAGGAATCATCATGTAACATACCAGGCCAAATAAAATACTGTGAAAATATCCTGTAGGTAACTGTTAAGTAAGCATTATCTCCATTGTAAATATGGGGAAATTGAGGGTCACAAAGTTTAAATAACTTGTCAATGGCCACACATCTAATAAATAACAAAGATAATAATCATTTATCTGATTTCAAACCTTTTCCACTACTTCACACTACCTCTGGTTTATATAGTTTCTTGAGATACTCAAAGTGTTGTTAAAACACCGTACTTCTAATTCTTAAGAACATCCCTGTCAGACAACTAAACAAGACATATACCTTTTCTCAGCCAAAGGGCCATGGAACCAAATGACTTATTTATTCAGTAGTAGAGTTGAGAAAAAGTGCAGGTGACCTATTCCTTTATCCATCTATCCAAAAAATCATATAAATATTCGGTGAAGCAACTATACTACTACTTCATTAGTAATCTAGTAAGAACATAAAGTAATTCGGTAAAAACATAAAGCAAACATAAAGGCAGAATTTATCATTTAAGGGGATAAAGTCAACAAAGCACATAAAGTCATTATCTATACAAAGCACATAAAGTCATTATCTATACAAAGCACATAAAGTCATTATCTGTATAAGTAATATGGTAAGTAGGTAAGTGGGTAGGAAGGTGGGTGGTAGATGGATAAATAAATCTGGTAGATTACCTCACTCATTGGGAAGAATGCTTTTTAAATAAAGAAATCTCACTTATGTTCTACAATACATTTTAAAAACACAACGTACTCCGTTAGAAGCCAGGACATCTTCTGTTTCTTCATCTTTGTGGTTGGCCTGAATTTCAAATGGATTCCCACCACTACAGTACTGTTCAAACAAGGTCACCGTTTTTGAGGAAGTTGAGGCAGGCTGCTTACTAGGTGAAACGGATGGAGAACGAGACTGTTCCATGAATTTAAATTCCTAGACGTTAAAAATGGAGTCAGATACTTTTTAGCAACAACAGTAAAGTTCAAGTACATAAACATATTCCATTAATGTAAATGTAGGGTTAGTGAAGAAATAAAAAAAATCACTCCTGATTTTCAGGTCATTCATTTTTAAATCCTGCAAGTTGTCTGAAAGCAGAAATTTAGAAATACAGGTCTAAAGGTTTTCCTAAAGAAAACTCAGTTGATGACATTTCTTAAAACAATGTTATCTTGACCAAGATACTTTTGGTATATTTTATAGAACCACAAACAGACTTTTTGAGAATTACTTTTGAAATTTGAATACTATCTCCTATAAATTTTAACATAGTAGGAAAGGTTTTAGTAGGATATGGTTTTAATCAACAAAGTCATTTATAAAAACAAATTGGTGTTAAGTCAAACACCTAGTTAACTTATATACATGCATCATTTAAGATATTCTGTACAAATACATCAAAAACAAAGCATGAATTATGCATATTTCTTTGTTATACTGATATCTATAAATTCTCATTTACTTTTCTTCATATACCAACCAGCAGGCAACACAAGCACATATGCTGAGGCCAGATGATGTGTCTTCTAGTCCTAGCTTGCCATTAACCCATTATATATTCCATTAACTTCCTACACAATGCTGGGAACATCATCTGGCTTCTCTATGCCTATTTCTTAATTTGTAAAATAAGAGGGTCAATCTATAATGAAAGAATCACAAATGTTAAAGGTAAAGCACCTGGTCTAATTCAAGCACTTCACAGATGAGGAAACTGAGGTGGTCAGAAAGATTCAGTGCCAAGTTCAAGATCTCACAGCTAATTTGTGGAAAAGCTGGAATAATCTCTAAAATTTCTTTGAATTACAAAACTCTTCATTTTATGATTTAACACTAAAAACGTAATGAAGATTTTCCTTATACCTAAAGATAAATCCAAAATTTAAAATTTCTCATATTCAATGATACTCTTTTTAAAAGTTATAATAGCTTATTAAGTTTTAAATGATGTGTTTATTTTCTTCTTAAATTTCAACTGCAAATTAAATCAAATACATAAAAAATTGCTTCTAGAAAGCCATTCCTTCCAAGGCTAAACTAAACACAATGTACCTTCGAAAAAAGGATCTAAGTACATGCGCTACATTTTGAGGTTTGCTATTTGTAGAACATAGTCTATCACATTGGGACTATTATCTACAATGTGTTGCAACTAAGGGAAAAAAAATCCATATAAGAAAACACTTTTTCACAGATTGCTTATTCTATGAGGATTCAAGAAATCAATGAACTAATAAAAATTAGCCAAGAGTAGCTTTTTAAGTGTCTCTCCTATATCTGAGGCATTTTCTCTTTACAGGTAAATTTATTAATTACAACATAAATTAAGAATCCTTTTAAGAAATCACAAATATTCTACTAATAGCACTTTTTTAAAAGACTACCAAAATATAACATTAATTTTCTGCAAAAGTTAAAGAAAGCAGTAGACCTTCTTCTGAATTAAAAAGAAAAAAAATTATTTTAATTGTGTCTCTTTTTAGGCAAAAAGGAGTCCTGGTGGCACAGTGGTTAAATACGTAGCTGCTAACTGAAAGGTGGGTGATTTGAACCACCAACTGCTCCATGGAAGAAAGATGTGGCAGTCTGCTCCCATAAAGATCATAGCCTTGGAAACCCTATGGGGCAGTTCTACTCTGTCCTATAATGTCGCTATGAGTCAGAATCAACTTGACAGCAGTGGGTTTGGTTTTGGTTTGGGCAAAAAGAGTTTCTTGAATCTAGAAAGAAACTCAGCAAAGATACAGAAGATCTTAAGGCCACAATCAACCATCTTGACGTCACAGGTATATACAGAACACTTCACCCAACAGCAGTATACATTCTTTTCCAATGCACATGGAGCATTCTCCAGAATAGACCACATCTTAGGCCACAAAGCAACCCTCAACAAAATCCAAAACGCTGAGATAATACAAAGCGTCTTTTCTGATCATATCATAATGCCACAGAAGTAGAAATTAATAACAGGAAGAGCAGGAAAAAAATCAAATACATGGAAACTGAATAATACCTTGTTTAAAAAACACTGGGTAATAGAAGAAATCAAGATGGAATCAAAAATTTTCTAGAATCATGTAAGAATGAAAACATATTGTACCAAAACCTATGGGACACAACTAAGGCAGCGTTCAGAGGTCAGTTTATAGCAATAGGTGCACACATCAAAAAAGAAGGGACAAAATCAAAACATTAGCCCTACAACTTGAACGAATAGAAGGAGAACAGCAAAAGAAGCCCACAGCCACCAGAAGAAAGGAAATAATAAAGATCAGAGCAGAAATAAATGAAATAGAGAACAGAAAAACAATAGAAAGAATCAACAAAACCAAAAGTTGGTTCTTTGAAAGGGTCAACAAAATCGACAAACCATTGGCAAACTGACAACAGAAAAACAGGAGACGACGCAAAATAACCCAAATAAGAAATGAAATGGAAGACATGACAACAGACCCAACGGAAATAAAAAGGATCATAACAGACCAAGCTTGTTGGTCGGACAGAGACTGGAGAAACCAAGAGAGTACGGCCTTTTAACTCAGTACTGAAGTCATTCCTGAGGTTCACCCTTCAGTCAAAGATTAGACAGGTCTATAGGACCAACAATAACATACATGAGGAATGTGCTTCATAGTGCAATCATGTGTAGGAGACTAATGGGCACACCAGCCCAAAAGCAAAGACAAGAAGGCAGGAAGGGACAGGAAAACTGGAAGAATGGAAACAGGGAACCTGGGGTGGAGAAGGGGAGGGTGTTGACACATCACGGGGCTGGCATCCAATGTCACAAACAATCTGCGCATTAACTGTTTAATGAGAAACTAATTTGCTCTGTAAAGTTTCACCTAAATTACAATAAAAAAAGAAAAAAAAGTTTCTTGAAGTATACAAACTAAATTTTGTAAAAAGAGACAGACATTTACATCCATAAAGGATTACTATTGAAAAAGAGGCTTATTCCTAATCACGTTCAAGGAAGGAATATAAGGCACTATTTCTTAATTTAATTATCTTATAAATCCTTCAATATATCAGATTCCTAAAAAAAAAAAAAAAAAAGCTTAAGAGATTTATTTCTTTTTAAGAGACACTTACATGAAGTTGCAAGATGCTGAAATTTGACTTAACAGGACAAAGCTCCCAGGTCTCATTCTCTAGGAACATTCTCAGTTCATCAAGCCGTGTTCTTAAAAAAGGAAATGGAACACATCAAAATTAAGAAGAAAAGAAAAACACACTGCACACAAAAACCAAGAAAATAAAATACAATTATAGAATTATCATCATGATCATAATCAGCTTTAGGAACACTTTAGATTAACACAGTAAACCAAATGTTTACTTTACCCTGTTAAAAAGATACTATTTTGAAGAGAAAAACTTCCTCAAATATTTACTAAACTCAGAATATTTTTACTATACTCAAAAAATAAATTAATTTCTAGGAAATAACATTTTTAATAAGAGACTAAAGATTGACAACAACTCATGTACTTAAAATATCCTTAGCTAATCACATATCATTGCCAAAAAATAGAGAAATAATTTACAAATTACATGAGATTATAAATACTAATAAATATTTTATGCTAAACAGCACAAATCTTAATTACATCGTCTAAGCCACAATCATCAATATGATTATCACTCTCAGAATATATTTAGCTCATTGCCTGTCTACACAGCATTTATGAATTAAATAGGTGGGTATGGCTCTTATATACCTGGCAAAACAAAATCTAGATTCTGTTTTTAAATCCACAAGTTCTAAAATAAAAAGACAATAAATGGATGAATCTCTGAAAAGCAGGAATTGCTCCAAATATTGGAACAGACAGACAAGGACATTAACTATCACATATAAGTTAAATAAAATAGTGAAAATGGTGTACAAAAAGGATGGAAAGACAAAGAATTTCAAAGAGGAACTGCATTATAAAAACAACAAAAGAAGCATAAAACAGACATAATAGAGATGAAAAATACAATACCTCAAATTAACACTTGATAGCTGAAAAGCAGAAATAACCCAAATGTCTATTAAACTGATGAATAGATAAAATGTGGCATATTTATACAATGAAAGATTGTTTTGCCATAAAAAAGAATAAAGTTTGATATAGGTTACAACATGGATGAATCTTGAAAACATTATGCTAAGTGAAAGCTATACACAAAAGGCCACCCATGATTCCATTTATATGAAGTGTCCAGAATAGGCAAATCCAAGAGATAAAAAGTAGATGAGTGATTGATTGCCAAGGGCTGTGGGATAGAGGGGAGGCAGAACGACTGCTAATGGGTATGGGATTTCTTTCTGGGGTGATAAAATTCTCTAAAATTAGATAGCGATGATGGTTGTTTTTTAACTATATATTTAAAGGGCAAATTTTGTGGCATGTGAATTATATCTCGACAAAGTTATTATTTAAAAAAAAAGACAAGACTGGTGTAGGCAGGATTCTAAAATTATACCCCTACCAAGATTTCCCACTGTAATCTCCAGGACTATTAGTATGATTAGGTATCATACCCAAAAGCTTGGCTGCTAACCAAATGGTCAGCAGTTCAAATCCACCAGTTGCTCCTTAGAAGCCTTACAGGGCAGTTCTACTCTATCCTACAGGGTCACTATGAGTCGGAATTGACTTGTTGGCAACGGTTTGGTTTCATATGACAAAGGAGCCCCAGTGGCACAGTGGTTAAGCCACTGCGTCAGTCCATCTCATTGATTAGTGGCAGTTAGGTTAATAAGGCAAGACTCAATCTACAAGATTAGGTTGTGTTTTAAGTCAATCTCTTTTGAGACATAAAAGAGAGAAGTGAGCAGAGAGACAGGGGGACCTCATATCACCAAGAAACAAGAGACAGGAGAATAGCGTGTCCTTAGGAATCGGGATCCCTGCACAGAGAAACTCCTCTACTGGGGAAGATTGATGA